TAAGACTAATGATAAGTAATTATAAGGGAAATAAATATGTAAATAGACATTAAGAATGTCGGATTGGTGAATATCTTATTATTATATATGTGGTCTTAAATTTACGCATACACATGTCTTAAATTTAGATTTGATCGTTAAAGATTAATCACTAACTAATCTCTTAAATATTTGCTAATTTTGAATTGTCTGAATTTAGTTTTTCTACTTCAAATATTTGTGGGCTTATCTGAAACCCAGAAGCTCAAAAAGAATGAAATTTTGAGAGAAAGGGCTTATACCTTTTGATACCTTTGAGCAAGCAAACTGTTACCTTCTTTTGCTACTTGACATTTCCAAAAGGTATTTGTAAGGCTCTTTTGGCCATTTCCCAGAACAATCAAACAGATCTGATAGTTTCTAACCTATGAGAAATTGAAGAGTAGAATTTGCAGAAGTAGAAGACCAATTAAGTGATTTAACAGCTGAAAGATATGAAAATGAGAGAGACAATAGGCTAACACAGGCTGTCGAGTCTCTCGAGCGTCTATTTCAAGGAGTTCATGGTCGGATGAGAGCTTGCAGTTACAGTTTTGGTGAGTTTGAGTATAAAGCTAAGAGCTTTGAGAAGAATTACCTCAAGAAATGTGGTCAAAAGTGTCAACTCTCTGCCTTTACTGGAGATAAACCCTCTCTGTTGAGTATGCAAACGACATGCCTGAGTTTGGCAGCTGCAAGCTTGGAACATGAGGCCAAACGGAGAGAGTCTGGTGGTGATGGAGCATGAGACAGCTTGGAACATGAGGGCAAAAAGGATCATTGCTTAAGTTCATGAAACAAGAGATTCCTGGAGTTACTTCTCCAATGGCTTATGTTCCTATGGTGTTTAGCTGCTTACGTTTGCTTCATAGTCTCGATTACTTGCATATGGGTGCCAGTAAGACTTGGTACCGTTGTAGGCTGTCGAGTCTCTCAAGCGTCTATTTCAAGGAGTTCATGGTCGGATGACTGACACTTGTCGGCCAAATCGGCAGAAGTACAACCTTGCTTGCTATGGATGCAGTACTTGTTGAAGATGAAAACACGGGAAAGGACTGCATCAGGTACTTCAGTTATGCTTGTGGTGTTCTAATCACATGGAAGTTGTGAAATCTTATTTCATAGTTTCTATCTCTTCCAACTATAGTTTCATTAACAGGTGAGTACGATAGTCTTTACCATAAATGTTACACTCTGGCCAATGCCAACAAATTAGTGATGCTTTTAATATCTACGACCTCTAAAATGATGATCAATTCATATATTTATCAAGTTGGGGAAATGTGCTTTAAAGGGGGGGTGTGTAACATATATCCTCTAATCATCTCCATGCAGAATTCATTCCACATGGCTTCAACTTAACTTTTCGAAGCTTTTTCTACCAGCAACATGAAGTACCTCTTTAAGAGCTTTTGTACCCACTCCTCTAGATATTCGATGAAATGAGCTGTTTACTTGTAATTTGCAGTACTTGAAAGAGCAAAGGCTTCTTCCTATGACATTTATTCCTCTTCAGTCAATACGTGTCAAGCCAGTGTTTGAAAGATTGAGAAATATGAAAGGGTAAAATGAAAAAATGATCCAGTATGCTGAAATTGAGAAGGTAACAATCAATTTGTCTTTTCCAAGATGTGAGGTCTCATATATTGTACTTATTCTTGTGAAGCGAACCCTAACCGTTTATCTTTCCTTCTGCTAGGAGAAGTGTGATATTTTGGAAATTCTAAGTAGTGGATTCGATTTGTTTTACAGAAAAGCGTTAAAGACAAACTCTCACATCTTGAGCAAGAGAAGCAGAATATTACTGAAGAAATTAGTCGCATAACTCGATAAGGTAATTGAATATCTTTCTCCGATACCTGATGACAATAATATGACGTTGGTATTAGGCATGTTCTTTTGCCTCACGCTGCGTGTCGCGTCAGCGGCCAAAAAAATATAATTAAAATACTAGTTGCTTGCCGCTCAAGATTGTGGAGAGTGATGGCTATGTTNATTTTTATGNCGCANCGTGACGTTTTTNCCTCTGCCGCTATCGCTGGAAAATTCAGCGTCACCTTTTAACACCAATACCTCTTAATCTANTATGTCCANCGACACCTCTTAATCTCCACCACCGTTGCTTACCATCGTTTTGCTCTATGTTTGACTACGGTGATCACTGTTTTTGTTCGTCGCTGCCGCTAACGCAGCGTCAAGCTAAAGAACATGCCTATTGTAGTGTCTAAAAAGGAGGTTGATAAGAGGATTTTAGGAATCAAGAAGTTGGAGAAAAGAATCAATGAGATTGTGGACCGTGTCTGTTGGCGTCGAAAACATACGTGAATATCAAGAAAAGCAGCTCAAGGATGCTCAACTCAAAGATGTGGTTGATGAAAGGCTGAATCTGAGTAACCAGCTTGCTCAAGGAACTGCTGCTAATTGTGGTCTTAAGACTTCTACACAAGGACAAGGTCAAGGGTATGAAGACGCTAGGGAGCA